CATCCATCCATCCATCCATCCATTCATTCATTTAGTTGCCTTCCGCTCTACAAAATTACCATAACTTCTTTCCCACCCATTTGACAAGTAAAAAGAACTTGTACTTACGCCACCCACCCTTCCTCTCCCTACTCCCTACTAATTGAAACTACATAAACTACAGGTCAGTCCTGCGAGGCTTATTGGAAAAAATTTACACATTTAGTTAAACTAGACTCTTTGTAAATTGTGTGAAATTGACAAGTGAGGTCGTTGTGGCAGATTCTGTAAGAGGAGTAGAAACCAAAGCTACACATGACAACAGTAATATTTTGCATGCAAAAGTGAAGGCCACTATAATTAATCTACAGCTGTAACCACTAAAGATTGCTTAACACGATGATAGTTTTAACCTTTTTATCTCAATCTGATATTTTTACTGTTTGTTACAGTAGTTATCACTTGCAAGAGATTCACGATATGGAAAAGTTTTAAATTTCAAAGAGCCTTTTTCTGCTTCGCGGGCCTCGAGGTCAAAGCGAAGACCGTCGTACGGCCAGCGATCTAAGAAGTATAGATATATTTATTTGTAACATTTATTTATTTGCAACATATATTCAATAGCAACATATATTTATTTGTAACATCTATTTATTTGTGATCATCTATTTATTTGTAATATCTATTTATTTCTAGCACAAATATTATTATTGAATCATAAATATAATAGAAATTTTCACGATAAAAAGATTGAATCTTCAAACAGACATTTTTTAGCGATAAATAGTTTGAATATGTCTGTCTGGATTATGCTAGGCTATATACGACTATTTATAACGCTAAATAACAAGCAAATGGGTTATTCCGGCAGCATATTGGTCTTCAGTTTTAAAATAATTTTTTACCTTGGGTTTTCCCATTTTAAACTCGTATAATTCTCATTTCTTTGTTAAACAGTTTTACACGAGAAGAAACAAATATGGATATGACTCAGACAAGGCATCTTATTCCACCTGAGTTGACCGCGTTCACCGAAAGGAATTATGGRTGAACTATTTTAGTTTTGTATTTTCCGAGTAAAGATCTCTTGTCGATTGAAGAATTCCGCCATGAGTTCGACTAGCAGCAATTACGATCAATTTAAAGAAATGAATTCATATTTTTTGGGTTCTCTTGGCAGAATCAACGGAAATGCTAATCGAAATATAATGTCGGATTCTCGATTCTGATTGGTTGACCTTGAGTTCGAAAATATTATGACCAATCTAAAAATAGTATATTGCGGTTTTATTATATATTTAATTCAGTTAAGAAAGTTTTTAGTGACTTCTCTGTTGTTGCTTGGTTGGGTCGGTCTGAAGTTATCACACAACTGGCTACCATCATTGCCTTGGAGTTGTCGGAACTGTCCAAGCTGAAATATAACAAAATCACTATATAAAAATAGTCACTTTTATATAAAATAAAATTTTATATTTTACATGAAATTTTGTATGAAATTACGCGTATTATTCTCTCTGGAAGACATGCGTACATGGATAGTATATAGAGAGTTTTAGGATCTTAGGGCAAACGTGAAACGTCAGTTGACCAGTAAAAAATTCTTTAAAATTCGTGAACGGGAATCTCAAGGAGTTATCTCCAAGTGATAGATAACTAAAAATATATATACAAATAATGATAATAACAAGTTCAAATTATTTTTGTCTTTTTTAAGTTTTAGCTGTTTTCGCTGTTTATCAAACATGCCATGCAACGTTAACGCGCATGGGTAGAATATTAATTGTAGGCAGTTATTTACAGTTGCCTTGGCCAATCAAAATGACGGCAAAAGGTAAATATCCAACATCCCTTAGCGGTTATGTAATCATATGGGTGGTACTAGCCTAAACAAACCTCGATGAGTGTATATCTTTGTTAATTCAAGAAAATGCTTAGATAACAAACATCGAAGACGTGCCCTAACCCTTCCCACAGCGATGCCCATTTTCTACGCATATACAGGATTTTCTTCGCACCCTCTTCTCGCCTGGGTACTTATTGCCCATAACCTCCCTCCCGGAGTAAATAGGAGCATGCGCAGGCATACCTGTTGTATAGATATAGACAGGTGTGTTTTCAGTAATATCCAGGTCACTGACTCGTAACATGGTGGCGTGGTTAGGGACCCTCTGTACGTGTAATAATAAGGGTAATCCTGAGTGAGGTCTGGGACAAGCTTGGTCAGCTCGATCCTCTCATCATAATCCAAAGTCACGGACGAACCTGAAAAATGAATAAACCCGAATATAAAAGAGGTCTATGCATGAGTGCGTTTCAACAAATTTTCCAAGAGCATTATTCTTGGGGTGTATGTTACGTCATAGCCGCCATGTTGCTTGACGATAACAAACATTCCTTATTAGCTTCTCTTATTAAACCAACCAGCATGGCGGTTGTTTCATTATTATTTATGTCTCGATGAAAATTAATTTTCAAAATTGATCTGATATAGTGAAGTAGAAATGACGTCACGGCAAAACTGAGGTGTCACGAAGCTTGCCAAAAACCTGGATCATGGATCATGGATTAAGAAAATAATTGGACAGTTACCTATTTGGGATTAATGAGAAGCTGTATAATTAGTATTTTTATTTGATAGCCTGCAAACCCATGATTTCAAGAGCAAAAAATGTCACCTCAGTTTTGTATATTTTCTCGATTCTGATTGATTAATATTTTTTTCTCGGATCAGCTGGAAAAGCTTTCGAGTCATGTGGTTGCACATATCTCCAAATATACAAAGGAATTCGTTAGTATGCTTTTGTTAAACCAAGACTGATATACTGTTTAAGACTACTGTGTTGTAAAGATATTATCAAGAGTTAGCCTTCTAAGCCTTTTAACTTAAAAGTTTTAAAAACCGATTTTAAATAGCATCTAAAGCATGAGACAATACTTTCAGTATTGATTCTACATGAAGTGAATAGTTGGTAAAATATTTGTCTTCATTTTAGTGTTGCGTCTTTAAGTTATAAAGGTCCATAATTTGGACTGTGACGTCATACCGGTCTTAATATTTGTTTTCAGGCACAGTTATTGGAAGCCTTCCAATATGTTAATGATGTGACTTCAAAGGAAAATTTGCATGACTTTATTTGTCATCATTTGTAAATTCAAACACTGATAACTGTGCCTGAAAACAAATATTAAACCTTGATATCTCAAAGCTTCATGACTCAAATCATACAAAAAAATTTCACCATTCAACTATTCACTTCATGTATTTAGGTCTCATAGGTACTTAAAAGAATAGTGATTACTCATAGAATACCTGGTTTTGTGATGTTTGGCAGAAAGCTAACAAGTCGTTCAAGAGTGGGGTTTTCATATAATGTGTAACCTCCGTAATACTTTGAAAACAAAAGCACGACGTTAAAAGCAGACACTGACAATAGACAAACGGACAAACAGACTGATAGGAAGAGAGTTAGACAAAGAGTAAGACAGAAAATACCCAAGGTAAGTCGAAAGGTATCCTTGTGTTACTGTACTTACGTCGAACAAGACTGCTATGATTGTAACTCCATCAGGTTTAATAACAGCATTATTAATATTTTTGTACTTTTTATTATAGAAAATCATTTGCATCTGAAAAAAAAAGCCTAGTATCAGTTGATGTTGGTGTAAACATGGTATGCATCCTATTCTTGTGTATTGAAAATACAGCCAATCAGGTTGCAAGAAAGCCGTTTACATTCGAGGATACTCCATTGTTTCTTCCCATCAGGGATTGTAGCCTAGGCGTTTTCAATGATGTGGATTCATAAAATAGGTATACAACATTTTCTCGTAACACACCATGGAATAACCCCCTTGTCACTTGTAACTCGCCTTGAGTGTATTATTCAATGGTATGCGACTCAAAATCGTGGTAAAACTATATGTATAATCTTTCAGCAGAACTTCTCCAGGACCAAAATTGGRCTTTTATAGGGAGTGAAGAAATTTAAGTGATAAATATGAGCTGATGACTGAATGAGAGCTACCTCTGCAGATGCTGGAATAGCGTTAAGTGTATGTTCCGATCCACTTCCATCCGTACATCCAACATGAAACTGGATAGTGGACAGAATATAGTTGGCAGAATCTGCTGGTCCTCCTGCCAAGAACACCATGCCACCCTTCGCATTCACTGTGAACTGAACAGTGTGTCCATTATTCGTCAAGACTCCAGTTACCAATCCAAGTGCATTATCAGACTCCATGGCCATTGGTTTGGAAGCTATTTTATAGGGTGTGGCTTGAGGAAAGATGACAATCGGTGATTGGTTACTGCCTTTGCACTTTTCATACATCTTCCCCCAGTCATCGGGTCCATACACTTAAAGAATAATATGAATAGAAGCTATGTTAGTTGGATATAAGATATGACCCTTTAGGAACAAATATTCAGGCCAACGTGGCTTTGAGAGTATATAATAAGAATACTTACCTCCTGTTCCAGATACTCCATAACCCCATGTGGGACCTCCCGCAACCTCGCTTGTTACTATTGACCCAGTCTTGTTGGGGATTATTGAGCCAGTATTGCTTGATATTACTACCCCAGTCTTGTTTATTGATCCAGAGCTACCTGTTATTTCTGCCGCGATCTTGTTTGTGATTATTGACCCAGTAGCAAGAGAGAACAGAGTAAGGCCAAATAAAGCCTTCAAATTATTCATGATATTGACATATATCTGAAAAAAATAAAATAAAATAAAATAAAATAAAAATGTCACCAAGACAAATCGCTGTTGATGCTATCACGTGGAGGATCATGGGGTATACGCGACAATGGAATTTTAATTCGGGACCTTTTTTAAGAAGCGTAATAAGAAAGAACGACAAACATGGAGAAAATTATAAAAGTATATAAAAGTATTTGGAAAAAAAAATATATATATATATATAAATGTTGAGAAACTCTGTTTTTATATTATTTTTATGTTTACTTGTTTGTTTGTTTGTAGGCTGAACATTACAATTTTATCTTATTATATATACTCATTTGAATTTAGTCTCTCAATTGCTCAATAATTGGAAAACTAAGCGAGAGACATAAACATAAATTGGTGTAATCGATGAAAATAATTATTAAGAAAAAGATAACATTAAGATCATCATCCATTTTTCAAATATTAAAATCATCTGAATCAGAGGTCAAGATGAAATAAATTGACCTTAAATGATAGAGAATTTGTAGGAACATTTGCTAGTTATTATTACGCGTTTCCCTTAAAGATAATTATTTTATTTTGTTTGCTCAAAAGAAAACGTCTATAAGGAAGACCAAAAGACCATTACCAATGTAATGGCTTGTTGGAAGACCTATTATTGAACATAGAACACAAGACATGTAGAGCCTGATGTGAGTGAATCATAATATGTAGACTACCCACCACGACTAAAAAACGAGCAATACTATCATAGTCAAAAATACAAGATACCTTCATTTAACCCAATAATTGACTTCAGTACTTGATATTTCTTGGAGTTCCCCTGAAGATGGGATAGATTCTTGGCTATAGTACAATGACAAGTAGAAATTCAATTCGCTAGACTAAACAATGGACCAAGTATTGATGGGTAACAAGCGTATCATAGTACAGTATAAAACCTGCAAATATTAACGAGGGTCACAGAAAATAACAGGTAGGCTTATCAATTTGGTGTCTCATATTTCATCATGAAACAATGTCGGTCATCTCATCAATTAGTCATTGGAGTGCACTGATAACAGGTTCAAAACCCTGCCGGGTCAACGGCTAATATTGTTTGTGCAACCAATCCAAAATACTATTCTAAGAAGTATACATTTAATTAATAGATACAAATAAAACCAATTGTGTTTATCAATTTGACAAATTTGAGGATCATTCGAAAATTGGTTTTAATTCATTAAAGATTTCCAGTACATAGAAATCATTTATCCTATATAGACAATAGAAGTTTTGATTGATTGTAAAGTCTTCTTGTAGAGAAAAAGAGGTCCATTCAAGATGGCAGCGAAGATTCATCTGCTATACCGTTACTACGCCACGCTAAACAGCAAAGTCCAAGATATTTTTTGTACTCTTTTCTAAAGGACCTATCGAGAGCACCATATATGAAAGGATTGATTGCAGAAGAAGTGGCTGCAAACAACGTGTACATGATGTAAACTTGCCGAGATGCCGACGAAAATCCACGAACGAGGTCAATAATGTCGATAAGTATGATGGGTGTCCAGCACAGCACGAAGCCAACGACTGTTAGGAAGACGGTGCGAGTTGCTTTGATTTCTTCAATGCTTGGGCCTGTTGCTACACTTGTGTTACTCTTCTTCATGTTCTTCATCTTGGCTTGATGATTTCTTATTTTTTTGAAGGTCAGGTAGTAGCAGACAATTACGATTGCCATGGGAACGCAACAGTAAAACTGCACAAATAATGTAGCGTACGACACTACGTTATCTTGAAAGCAAATCGCTTTACCTGGATGGAATTTGTAGGTTTTTCCAGAAGCTATGTATGGAACTGGCTCCATGATCGACAGCAGCCATRAACCTAAGATGATGATTTTGGTGCGACTTTTTGAAAAAAACTTTTGATACGAATTGGGGCGCACTACTTTGAGATAGCGGTTAAACGCCGTTAATGTGATGGTCCAAATAGAAGCAAAAGCCAGTGCCATGAGTATATACCCATCAAACTGACACATTACATGACCAAATGGCCATCGACTGACTGACAATGCTGCTACCAACTCCCATCCCGCGAATAGAACTAAACAGAGGTCCGATGCTGCTAAAGATCCAATAAGATAATACGTCATTCTATTTTCATGACGTTTTTTGTAGACAATCCATAGTACTAAGGTGTTGCCGACGATTGTAACTAACATCAATAACATATACGATATTAGTTCGATCACCATCAGTCCAAGACTTCGATTCTTTAGCTCTTGTGAAAGAACCTCCGCATGGGAAGGGATTGCTGTTGAATTCATCATGTTGGATGTTCCACTGTTGGAAAAAAACGTTTTCCTACGACCAGCTTAGCAGTCACAATAACGGTCTACTTCAAGTATTGATGTACCAAAACAGAACGATAACGAGTACCATTCAGAATATTTATGTGAGACGCTATTCTTTTCCAAGTAACTATAGCACAACTAATAACTATTGCGTGTGGCGGCTGTTCAAACACACTCTGCGGTTTTCGATATAGTGTCGTCTTTATTTATTACTTGGACAATTTCTCTTGTCTCTAATTGGTCGAAAACATTATGCAGCTAATTATCTTTACCTTATTTAACACACTCATACGTTGAGCAATATTGACCTGCAGAAATCGAAAAACCCTCAATTAAATGAAGAATATAACAGTGAACACTTCAATTTTTTAGGTTATATTATTTCTCAAACTTTCTACTGTTTCAAATCCTACAAAGTGAAGCATTGAGTTCAAATACACCGAGAGTTGAAAATAAATTTTACGTCCAATCGATAGGGGAATGATTTACAGACTATGCATTTTAAAAAGGTGACAAAAAAACTACGAGTATTTACTGTTCGAGTGTAAGGAAATTAAGCAAAAGTGCTTTGAAATAGTTCTATAGGAAATATATCTTCACCTTTTTTCCTTTATTCTCTAAAGGTTTTATATTTAATTATATTTAAAACATTATATTATACATATAAAATAGAATTATTGGATGAGGTGGATGAGGTTGAAGCGGTAGGATGAGGATAAAACGGCCGAGGTCTTGATTATTTACGATATTATATGGAAACTGAATTCAATAATTGCTTTATTATACA